CAACTTTGATGGGTAGTCCGACGCCCCCCAATGCACAGAAATATCCGGAGGGCTATCTGGTCGCTTCCACATGTTTTCTCCCCCATTATGGCCCCGGCTATGTCTGAGGAGGTCGCCACAATGGGCTTGTCCACCCTCACTATTTCTAAACTCCTACCCAAACCAGAACTCCCTTCCGAGGCCATTCGTTAAGAAATTTTTAGAGTCTAAATGGGTACTGAAACTTACGGGTTTGGAAGTGTTTCCTAGCCGGAAATGGTGCAAGATCGCCGGAAATATTGCTCTCTCTCTCGCCGGAGTTGCTTGTAGAACGTCGAAAATCGCCGAAAATTTGGGAGAAAATTTTGTTTTTTCGTCTGGCAAAGGTAGAAACTTTGATAAGCCCCCAAAGTTCACCTTTTATAGGAAAGACAAATCCAATCTCCACCGTTGAATTCAAATACGATCAATCTAAACTGTTCGTTGTATTCCCGATCCCAGCCGTTGAAACGAAACGCCAGATTTGATCTACACCCAAGATGTCGCTGTGGCTTTCACGCTAAATTGAAACGCGTCGCCTCGGTTACCAACAGCCGTCAATAATAATTACTGGCCGCAGCAGCCTTCTAGGGGAATGGGCGTGGTACCCAACTGTCACCTTGGAAACACGCAACAGTTGTCAAATCATTTGACTTCTGGGTCGCCTCGGATGATCTCCTCCCCCAACTTTACAAAGCTTAGCCGCAACCGATGCGAACGCCCCAGTGGCTAATCGCCTCGGGCGCTGCGTTCCCTCCTATGATTTACGAAGTTCGAGCCATCTCCCCACGCGTCGACCCCTTTTTCGCCAACGCTTGGCGAGAAACGAGTCCCCCAACTTTACAAAGCTTGGACGCACCCGATGTGAACGCCCCGTTCGCTATCGCCTCGGTCGCTGCGTCCCCTCCCATGCTTTGCAAAGCTTGAGCCGTCTCCCTCTTCCTGCCAACGCTTCGGTGAAGACGAGTCCCTAAAATTTTTATGACACTTTAACGTACCCGACGCGAGCGTACCATTGGCTCATCGCCTCGGCTCTGCGTTCTTCCCATGCTCTACAAAGTTTCAGCTATCCCCACGCCGCGATCCGGTCAGGAAAACAAATCCACGTATAATATAAATATTCATTCTCGGATTTGGGGGGACCACTGTTACGCCTCATTTTACGAGCCTCGGTACCGAAGTATCGAAGTATCATCTCGCCACCCCGAAGCCGATGAAATCAAATAGACCACTCCGACCTCCCGAAGCTTCTCCAAAGTAATACACCGATTCCTGCCACTGATCTGCCGAAGTGTCCCGTCTCCGAGGTCGGGTTCAAGTGGACCCCCGTTAGAAGATTCGCTGCCAATTTAAGATTTGCTCTGCATATAAGGTTTAAACTGATTTGACGTCCCCCATAAAGCTATTTGATGTGATTTATCAACTTTATGTCAATTCAACTTGGGGGAAACAAACTGTCCGCCCACTCTACAAGCGCGGCTGATTGACGCCTATGAGCAGACGCTTCATACCGTCAAATGTATACACGTGTTCCACATCCCACGGTTCATACCACCTATAAATACCCAAAGATTGGCCAGAGGCAAAGGTAATGAAACTCTCAATAGATAGCACTCCATAACAAGTTTATATATTCTCCTCCCCCCTTTATTGACTGATTGATTTGTGTAGTCCCTGGGCACTGTTCCGACCATCCAAACCTGACTTGACCGTCGGAGTGTATACGGCCGCCACCCTCGTCGGTTCCGACCGTGTGCGCCTGACAGTTTGTTCATTTCGTAGGGAGGAATACATGAAGTAGCTACAAGTTGGCCACGTGGAAGAGCCATTTTTAGAGGTCAACAATACGTTTGAGAAATTCCAAGAGTACTGGATTGATGCAAATTTATGACAACAAATTATGAATGCTGAGTGCAAGTGGACTTTTTGATTTGTTCTATTTTTTTTATGGATTTTTGTTTCTTTAAATTTGACTAAAGGGTATAACAAAATGACTTTTCTACGGACAAATTCAGAAAAAAGAGGTGAATGCGAGGAAAAAGAGGAACTCATTGTACACAAAGGTCATATTTGTGTTTTTGTTGGTGTGGCAGAAATGGAGAATATTTCTAGCCACAAATTTTTTGGTGGAGAATTTCGTATGTGCTTTTGTTGAAGAGTCAAAGTTTATTCTTTGCAATGAAATTTGCGTCCTGGTAGAAAGTCTTTGAAGCTTGTTTATTGTAGTGGAATTCGTGTCTGGGTGGAATTTGTTAGAATTAAAGTGTGACTCAAATTTTATTTGAAATCCTATTTAAAGTCTATTTGACAAATTATACTTAATTCTAATTGGAAGTTCAATTGGGGAGTTGGAATATGTGTAAAACTTGAAGGGATCAAATTATGGATCGAAGAGAAAAGTAGCCACAATTTCGCTAGCTGGCCTACTAGCTTGGAGCTTGAGCGACGACGTCAAAATTTTAAAAAAAACTTAACACCCGCATGGTGCTCGAGCGACGAAGCTGACGCTTGTCTAGTGCACAAGTGATGTAGTTACTCGGTCCAAGCCTGTTTCGCGTTTGAACATTTTTTTAATTGATAACTCTACTATTAGGGTTGGGCGTTTCCTTTTTATTTAAATTTGAGCCACATTATTATAAAAATGAGAATGAAAAATATAGTCGTTATGAACCCCACAAAAGAGATAAAAAGTCAAATATGGTGGTTTGATGTGATGGATAACGATCATATTTTTCATTTTAATAAGAAAATAATGAGGCTCAAACAGGGTCATAATTTGGCTCTTCATTATGATCTAGGGCATGTTTGAACTCCATTTTTTTATTAGGAGATAATAGATTGATGGAGAATGTGCTGTTAAAAAAATTAGAAAAGTTTTGAATTTGCGTATAATACTATTTCATTGAAGAATGAGTGATCGAAAAGAAGAGAAAAAATTTATCTTGAAAAAAAAAGGGAATCAAACAACGGTTTAGTATAAGTTAGAAACATTGTAAACCCAAACATATATATTCTTTCTCCATATTATAATAAAATATTCATTCTCTATAAATTACATTGTTCTTGTGTTTTTATGATCTTTATTTCATATTGTGCCATAATCTCGTATTTTCTCCAACAAATTGGTATTTAATTAATCCGATTCCAATTTTCTGCACAACATTCTCCAATTGAAAAATAGATAACTAATAGCTAAAAGTAATTTGTAGTTTATTTTTTCCAAAATTAATATCAATTTTAAGTACATATTTTTTAAGATCCACAATTACTACTACACATCTTAATCAAATCATAATTTTAATACCTTAAAATAAGTTTAGAGTGAAACATCGTCACAATTACAATCATCTAATGCATTGTCATACGTCTTGCTCGAGGGCATTATATGCGCAAAACAAAGTTCAATGTCCACGTTTTGCTTGTTACATAAAACAGCTATCGATCTCAAATCAACACAGATTGTAAACTATGAAATTCAGCAAAATTTTTGGCAAAACGGCCGTTCTACCGGAAACCAAAAAAAAAAAAAAAAAAATTAAAAAAATTAAAAAGAAAAAAGAATTCCAATATTTATAAATCTCGTCATCAATCGAAATAATTGTTATTTTGTTTGGATCATTATCTTCCCCACTACGACGACTTTTAAAAAGGTGTTAATTAATGTCCAAAATGGTCAAATACAAATTCAAAAATTCCATAGCCACAAGTAAATTGACCTTCTTTGTACGCACTAGCCAGGTCTGCAAAACATGCCCGCGTCCACGTATGTGCGAATCTACACCACTAGTCCACTTTCAAACTGCTAAGTATTGGTTAATTTCACTTTTGGTCATTGAACTTTCGGTCAGATTTCAATTAAGTTGCTCAATTTTAGTTTACCCAATAACTTGACTTCAATTTACTTTGAATGTTTAAGATCCATTATCTTCTATTACTAAACTTAATTAGCCTCTATTTAACAACTCTTATTTTCAATTTATTTTTAAGCCTCCTGTTAGACAATTTTTTTTTTTTTTTAAATTTTGAGAATAATGAATTTTTGAATTGTAATTTTTTGGAAAATGTACAAGTAAAAAAAGTAGGAAAAAATTAGAATTTTCACGAAAGATAATTTATTATGAGAATACGTGGTTGAAAATGAGTATGAAAAAATAAGATTTTTAAAAAAATGGTTACCAAATATGGGCTAAGTCATTCAATTTTAATTTATTACCTTAAAATGTCGAATTTCAATTTATTTTCAATATTAATCACTTTATGATTTGCTTTTGTTACTAAACATAATGTCTTAATCCTTTGTGTAACTCCCCTTTTAGGTAAGTGTGCAACCTTTTGACATCTTCCTCACAAATCTTGAACTTAGGAATGGATTTTGAGTATGTATTATTGTACAAGTTATCATGATTTTAAAAAAATGTTATTTTTCAAAATTATGATCGCAACATGATTATGTAACATATTTTATTTGAGTATTTGACTACCATTATATTATTGTTAATTTTAACCATTCACGTCTAATTGTGACATTAAATTTAGTCTATGTTTGACCTTTATTTTTTTAAGACGCAATTTTTTTAAAACATATTTTCAACCATACATTATTGCATTTTTAATAATACATTAAAATACAGTTTCATATCAAAATGGGGCTCAAACAAGGGCTTAATAACAAGACTCGATGAGTGACTGCACCATTGAAATTAAATTGAGTTTAGTGACCTGATTTAGATAAATTAAAGTTAGATGAGCCAATTGAAATTTTACTGAGCCTTTGGTGACCCCAAATGCAATATACCCACTAAACAAATTTGAGCTGCAGGCCTCCCCAGCCTGGCGTGTCAATATCCACGCGGCATTCTCTCATTGGATGACACAAATAGCACCCCACTAAAATCCAACAAGTAACCTAGGAGGGTACGACGACATCAATTTCTGCGAGCTTAAGTTTTCTCTCCTTAGGTCGGTGCGGTGTACGTCAAACAAGAAAAACGTAGTATTTATTTATTTATTTATTTATTTTTGTTCATTTTCCACCATTCTCCCTCTCTCTTGTATTCTCTATCCAAGAACGCACACGAGGAGGAGAGAGATACACTTCACAGTTTACATACACTCTTTAGTGGGTAGGCTCTGTTCACTTTTCTTCCATGTCTGAGAGTAGAAGCAAGGAACTGAAAAGACATGGCAAGAAAGGGGCGAATAGAGGAGAAACTGAAGATGGGCCTTCAAATTTTCCTTTGGCTTCTACTCCGGGTGATGATTTTCATGATGAAGGTGTTGACACAGGAGGAAGGGTACGCAAAAGGAAAAATATTGGAGAAGAAATGGAATTGCAGGATCCATTTGTGGCTTTTGGTTCGGAAATAATGGTGATGATACTGAAACAACTTGACGCACGCAGCGTGGCACGATCTCGCCTGATCTCTCGTGGATGGCATAGCATAGCTTCAAGTGATGAAATTTGGTCCCGCAAGGTTCCTTCTTGTTTTACTTGTATTTGTTTTTTGATTTGCTCGTTCTGTGTTCTTGTGTGTTTGAATTCGTATGTACTGCTTGTACTTTTTTTTTTCCCTGTGTTCTCTTTTTCGTGGTTATTGATGCTTTTGTTTTAATTAATGTCCATTCTTGATGATTAAGGGATTAAGGGCGCGTTTATCTCTACTTAAATGCTAAGTTACTTATTTTGCCAAATATATTTTTCAAGGATACTTATCTAAAACAGTTCTGGTGTTCTCGTCTGTGTGTTTTTACGGTAATTTATTGACTGAAAAGCGTGTTATCAAACTATGCTGTATGTACTTTTGTTTTCTGTTTTGTGATTATTGATGCTTTTGTTTTGATCAAATCATTCACTGCATAGTCGGATAGATCTTTTAAAGAATTGATTAATCAGAGGAGAATAAAGATAGAGTCCCATTCTACGTGAATGTCCTTTCTTGGTGATCAAGGTCCTGTTTGTCTATACTTAAAAAGCATGTTTAAATTAAAAAGCTAAAAACCTTATCTTAAGTTACCTTTTATTCCAAAGATTTTGCAAAGTTACTTGTCCAAAATAGTATTTGAATGGCAATAGGCATTCTCTCTCTACCAGTGGCTAGGAAAACGAACTTGGCCTACTCCCATCTCAGATAAGTTATGAGTAAATAGGCTATATTCACAACTATAGGACCGGGTCACAACGTGCGTTTAACCTTGATCAACTGTATACGGGCTATATGGGACCTGCTAATAGAGCCTGATGTACACCTGTTGGTACAGAAAATGTGCAAGTAGTATTTAGCCTGTGTTTGGCCTCATATTCTTCAAACTCATTTTCAATCACATATTCACCCAGGAGAACGGTTTTGCATGTGGATCAATAAAATTTTCCAATCTCCACACATTATAAAATAAAAAATCACTTTTCACTCAATCTATTCTCAAAAAATCTCTAGGGGCTTAATAATGAATATGATAATTCATAGATGCCAAAATAAAGCGTCAAACTTCTTTAACTTCCAACTTACTAGGAAGATTCTTTATACACTAGCAATATTGTGCATCAAATTGCAAGTGATAAAAAATGTTTTTCAAGAAGAGGAATTTATAGATGTAAATTATCAGAAAATAATAATATAAAGGCTTGAAAAATTGAAGGAAAATTTTCAGATGAGTGCGAGTATACCAAAACAAGTTTTGAAGAAAAAAGAGGAGAACAGAGTTCATTACCCGGCAATTCCATCCATCCAGCTGGATTCTTGGATGTGAACATTGTCACTACGATCGCACCTTCTAGGAGACCCTTTGGTGGTGGTGCATGTGGCGTGCGGTGATCTGCTGGCGGCGCACGTGGGCGCATGAAGGGTTGTGGACTCTTCCTTGACTGCTGTTCTTCATTCTGCATATGATGGAGTCTTTTTTAACACTGATAGGTTGGAAAACGTAAGCACTACAGATGAAAAATTAATTTTGCGTCTCTCCGATAATAATGAACACTCAGATTTGTTTGCTTGGTATGAAATTTCTAACCCTAAACAAACTTCTTTTGCTTTTCTGATGATAGCTATCTTGTTGACAGCAAACTGTTTTTCCTGAGTTTTATTTGATGTTAGCTATCTCGCCTATAGCAAACTGTTTTTGATAAGCTTTATGTGTTGATAGCTATCTTGCCGAGAGCAAACTCCCTAAACTTTTATTGCTTATATGATGATAGCTATCTTGTTGATAGCAAACTGTTTTATTCATTGTATTATTTATTTATTTTTAAAGATAGCTATCTTGCCGATAGCAAACTGTTTTTGTTGGGTTTATGATATGTTGATAGCGATCTTTTGATAGCTATCTTGTAGATAGCAAACTGTTTTATTGATTGTATTTTATTTTATTTTATTTTTATTTTTTTAAAGATAGCTATCTTGCCGATAGCAAACTGTTTTTGTTGGGTTTATGGTAGGCTATCTTGCCAATAGCAAACTCTTTTTGCTGGCATTTTGTGTAGTTTTCTGTTCTGCAAATAATCTTTGCTGACCATGATTTTTTTGGAAATTTATTTAGTTAATAATTTCATACAATGCACCATTTCTAGAATTTCTTTTTTATTGTAGACATTAGCATCTAAATTGTTGATCCAATCTAAATACTCTTGAGCTTCTCTACGTGGAATGGAAATTCGCCCACTTTGGAAGATGTCTTGGAAACCACAACGGATAAATTTTTGGAGAAATCGTTCAGTGTTTTCTATCCCATCAAACTGGAGAAACACGCTGCAAGGATGTGTTTTTTTGTTTTCATATTGAGCTGTAGTTCTTCATTTAATTTAGCAAGAAGAGGGTAGTGATGTTTATTTTGAAGACTCAAATATGCTGATTTACATGAGTAAGATTGGTGAACGACATTTCGAATTTGTAAATTCTGAATAAAGTTGTTATTTTGAATTTGTGATTCATAAAAATATTGTCTTCTAAATAGAACCTCTATTAAGGACATCATATATGTATTCTTCGTGAATTACTTTCATTCTTATTTGTTCTGTTTCATCATTTTTGCCTAGTTAAGCATCTCAAAATGGTTGACAGATTTCTAAATTTTTTCATTAGTTTGCATTATGTAGACCAATAGTTACATGTCTTGTGAACATGCTTATGAATGTTTATTAGAATTTAAAAAATGCCCAGCAGAAATTATTTTCTTGTTGTGCAAGGCTAGATGTGGGTGGTGATACATTTCCTTCTTTATGTCTTATTAGAGACCACACTATTCGTAGTGCATAGATGATGAAAAATAAGCAGAGATTCTTGGGACCTGATGATCTTTTGATGTCAGTGTCCGTAGATTTCAAGCTATATTTGCAGAATTTTCTGCCTGAAGTAGTTTTAGTTAAAAAAAGATTATTGGTATGAGAAGTATGTGATGATTCATTACAAAAAAGAATAAAGAGGTTGAACTGTGTAATTACATCTGGCCACCACTAAAAGACCCAGTTGGCCTGTTATTAAAGGACCTAGACGGCGCATGTGCATTTGCTAAAGGGTTGATCCATCTATATCAACAGGCCAACTTCCTTCTTTATCATAATTTGGCGATGAATTTCCCCACGCTGGACTTCTGTGATCACATTACGAGTAGAGGGCAGTGATTCACGACCAAGGATCCGGCTTCTCAAGTAGTCCAATTTTCTGTTCTACCCAACCAAAAATTCACACTCGTTCATTATCCACCCTTTTTTGTGTTGCATACCGTCTCCAGGGCAGTCCCATTCTTCATCTACGCTCAAGATCAATTTTTGCCAAAGGATCGTCATCTCCATATAATAGTCAGTAACATCCCTTTCTCCTTGCTTTACCTGCTACAATTTTGTTTTAATTTCAAAGACTGTGGGACGAATCTTCGGCGTTGGAGTACATCTCTCGAACAACTTTCCATATCCTTTGTGATTTGCATCAATAGATAGATTTTGCCAATTGACGGCTTCATCGAGTTCAAAAGCCATGCCATTACCATGAAATTTTTAGATTTCCATTTTTTTGAAGGCTTGCATCCATATTCTGCTTTGTGTCGCCGATAAGGTATCCAATTTTTCCTTTTCCATCATCTACCAATTTTATTGATTGAGCTCACTCTCTACAATTTCTTCCATTGAGTTTTTCCACCGTGAGTTGAAAGAATGAATTATCAATTCCAATTGAACTCATGGTTGTAGTAGTTTCGAGCTCGTTGGTTGCAGATTTAGAGGTGGTTTGAGTCTTTGCTATTGACGGTGTTTTCCGCCATTGATGGTTGGGTTTAGACTAATCCTAACCCTGATGCCATAAAGACGAGAGAAAAAACACTGATTTCATATTCCTCGATAGATTTCTGACATGTGATGGCTCAATATATAATATAAAAGAATATATGAAAAAAGAATGTTAACTCCTAACTAAAGAAAGAAAAATATCTCCTAACAAATCATCAATTATACCATACAAGTCTAACTAGTCATCAATTATAATATACAAGTAAATACAATCAATCCATAATAATTCTATGATACTTTCTATATTGGCAACAACTCCAACCATTTCTAAATACTTTTCTATACAAAAAGAGCAAGTGAGAATCAAACTAACGTCCTTTAATACTAGAAAATCTATATCCGTCTACTTGTACAAGAGCTCGAAATTGTCATGGTAGATCAAAAGGACCATACTCTAGATAAAGGTGCTGATTTCATCCTTCAGATGCAAGTGAGTCAACCACCTAGTTTCCCTCATAGTAAATGTGAAAAATAGTATCACAACCAAATGAGAGATGATGTCTAATATGTTTGAGAATGAACTGGATCTTTCATGGTCCTTCACTCCTAGTGATGCAAAGAAGGCCATAGACGAGAATGCCTCCACTAAAATGTCTGAATCCAAGTTGTCAAGCAAGTAAAATCCTATCCAAGATGGTCCTTAACTCAGCCTCCAAAATAAGGTAGTCCCCATAAGATGACGAGAAAGCCTTAATGTATTATCATCATTCTCGAATAATGCTTCCTCCACTAGCAAATCTATCATTGATGTATTCGTTGGTGTTGATCTTGTAAGATCCTACAATTGAGTACACCAAGAAAAAGTTGACGGAAACCCAAAAAAAGAAGTGATTGCCAAATCTCTATGCTAATGAATAGGCTAGAATAAGCTACCTATGTGGAGATGTGAGATTATGCTAGACTCTCTAAATGATCCGTTTAGGCTCTATTTGTATCTCATCGTGCTTCGCATCATTCTTCGCAATCCATAGGAACCAAAATATCAACAGAGGAATGATAGTTTGAATGTGTCCCTTGTGGACATACGGCCTGAATACCTCCATCTCTTGAACTGTGGTCTAACTCTCTCACCCGATCTCATTGAATCCTAGAACATATCTCTAAATTGATGCCATTCTCGATTAGGGATTGTGTTTCATGTGAAGATGTGTGATCTAGTTTTGATCTCCAATCACTACAGATAATAGGAGGCCATATGGCAGTTAGTCTTCCTCTGAATGACCACATCACACTTGCCTATAGAGGTGTAACCCAAAAATATGTTCAACCATAGATGATGGAAGTGCTCGTAACAATTGTCCAGTATCCCATTCTGAGCCATCATAGAAGTCCTGCACCCTTGGAAATGAGTGTTGCTAGTGTGGGAATAAGGATGTTAAATTAGTCTCGCTTATCCATCAATCAAGCCATTTGCCCTGCTCCAAGGTGCTACGTAATATGTGGCTCAGTCTTTTTAGTCTACCAAGCTTCAACCTTCTCCAAATAGGTGAAGCATTATATGAAGGTGAGACCCTATGTAATATTTGTCCAGTAAGAATTGAGTCTACAACGATCTCTTTGAACGAAAAAGCTACCAAAACTTCAAGAAAAAAGTATCAACAATGTCATGAAATCTCTTAAGCATACGCTACCCTTATTAGTAGGAAGGCAAAGATCCTTTCATCTCCGTCTATGTAATCAACACACTTGATGCTTGGATTCCCAAACGAATAGTGCAAATACACTCTCCAAATTCTCGAGTACAACTTTAGGAGGCTACATGATATGAAGTAGATAGAGTGGTATAGAGGAAAGAATAGAGTTCAATAGTGTGATCTTGCCCCCAAAAGATAATAGGCAAACGGCCTAACTGGATATCCTGCTACATTCTGAATAAGGTGATTATATGAAAAAACCTACTTAGACCCCTTATAGAGAGGCACCCATTAATAGAATAATGGTGGGTGGTGGTGCCTAAAGCCTCAGTCAAATGATCCAATGTCATAATGATTGCCACACATGGTCTCCAAATATTGATTTTATCAAGGAAAAATGTTTTGGACTATCAAGTGAGAAAATGAACATGAACACGAGTAGATAATAGGCAACTTTGCATGATAATGCCTAAAAGATCTCTTCTATCTAGAAAAGCTATGATGATCTAGCTTGTGATGTCATAACACTATTAATGTTCAATGCAAGAGAAGTCTCACAAACATCACAACTTGAGCCTATTCACTCTAGTTAGGATGATCTTCAACGTAAGATAGTCCTTTGATTTCTTAGGATTAGTGTAGTAGTCCTTTTGTTTTGTGGGATTGCCGATTCTTTTCTCCAAACATAGATCTCAAAATTAACATTAGGATGAAAAACATAAAAATTTTCAAGGCTCTTGGACCTTTACCGACATGGGAGATTGCATGGAAAGGAAGAATGGGTATCTACAATATAAGTTTTGGAATATTCCTTTATGGATTGTGATCATGTCACATTCGTAACTTATTATACCATTAGCTAATGAAGAATCTTAGACAGAATGAGCATTACCTTTTGGTGGACCAACTATTGAGTTTTGTATTTAATCAAGAAGTAAACAGAACACTCGATGTCTTTCAGTCTTTTACTTTGGAATAGTATCAAGAGTTTAAACTAAATGCGAACTCTTTAGAATCAATAGGTCATTTTACCCTGTACTGAAAAACGTGATACTTTCTTTTTAATAGTTATAAGGAAATTCATTAAATTTGCATCCTATATCTCAGCAACTTACTATCTGGTCCATGCTGTCTAAAGATAAATGCTAATATGTCCCTTGGTGGTATGATCTTTTTTTCTTGGATATATCGATGACTGTATTTTTGTCGTGCCATTGTTTTGACTCATAGTCTTGTTGAAATGAAAAACTCACAAACAACTTGGATAATAAATTTAAGATTAAAGACAAGGTAAGTTTTAGGAATAATAGTTTTAGACAAAGCATGTATTTGTCTCAAAGGAACTATCCACTTGACCTACTTAAGGAGATAGGTTCTTGCTTGTAAACTAGTTGAAACTCCCA